TTCTCGCGAGGAAACATTGCATGTTTAGCAAACTTGAAGCTCGTTTGCATTCTCCTGGGACACTGGGCATTGCAAACTCTTCGGAGACTTAACCGCGCCCGGCCGGCGAGGGGGAGTTGACTTGCCCCTACGACTTCTCGAACACGGCGCTTGTCCGACAGTTCCACACAATAACATAAACTTGGAAACACGCTGTGAAAAAATATCATTCTTGTAGGGTTTTGGTGGATCCATTTTGAACAGTGAACTGATCTGACACGATCCATGTGGGCCAACAGCATCATGTGGAAACAGCATCATGTGGATCGGAAATAACTCCCCACGGTCTTAACGTCTATTTCCGTGGCCTCCGTTTCCACCTGGACGTGTTAACATAGGCTTTAGGAGCATCTGTTGGAACTACCGTTTTTGCCTTTCGTGATCTCAAGTGACCTCACAATTGACCCAAGGTCACAAATTTGATGCGCATTCTTCATGCTTTGACGAGACCTTCAGAACTGTATCTGTGTTTTTCTCATACGGTGTCTGGAAGTTGGAGATTCCCGGGGGAAGTTCACTTCCCCCGGCCGGGCGCAGCTAATACTGCTCGCACAGAGAGCACTGGCCGAATGGTCCTGGAACTTTTGACACGGCTCAGGAAGGAAACGCCTTGGACAATGCGCATCACTTGTCCTCAGCGCGTTCCTCGAACACTGGACACTTTTTTGACCCCGGTGGACGTTCCGCCTGGCAGACATACAGCGCCGCTCGGGCGGGCACCTGTCGCGCGTGTACGGCATGAGCCGGCTGGGCTCGCCGTTCTCTCACGCCAGGAGCGCGCGCTCCGCGACCGGCTGCCGCGCGCCTGCGACTGGCGCGACGTCCGCGGCGTCAGCTACGTCTCACCCATCAGGTGGGGCAACGGCAATCCAGTGCAAAGCTTGAGTGGGTTCATGGAGACTTGTCATGGCTATGATGCTGTCTGTGACCGCACAGATAAGCTAGCCACCGTCATTGGCACGTCGCTGTGGATGGAAATAGGCCCAAACACCTGTGTGGTGAGATTCATCGATCGCATCTTTTGTCCTATCGGTAAAGTTGTTGATGCTGAAGATTTATTCGAGGAACACCTGACGTGTGCCATCTGCCCTGGCAAAACTTCTCTTCCCCTGGTCCCAGCCGGCCACGACCGTTGCTGATGGAGCCCGCGTCTCCTTCCGCAGGAACCAGCGAGCGTGCGGCTCGTGCTACGCGTTTCGCCTCGATGGCGGTGCTGGAGTCACGCGTGCGCATCCTCACCAACAACACCATGCAGCCTGCGTTCTCACCGCAACACATCGTCAGCTGCAGCCAGTACAGCCAGGGCTGCGCCGGCGGCTTCCGCTACCTGATCGCCGGGACGTACGGCATAATCAGCGTCAAGCGAACATAGGACGTGGTCAGTAGGTGTGAGCTGGACTAGCGTGTGATCGGTGGGAGTAAACCAGACACAGGGGCTCGTCAGCAGGTGTCTGACTGGACAGAAGTCATGGTCAGGGGGTGAGACATGCTTGCTAGGTTACGGTCAACGTACGCTTTGAGATATCTCCGATAGTCGCTGCTCTGAATGACATGATGACAAGTAGCGAACTGATCTGTGTCAAGGTCAGTGCTCTCTGCAGTACTGGACAGCTGGGCAGAGCTGGGCAGCAGTGGACTGATCTGTGTGTCAAGGTCAGTTCTCTCTGCTGGCCAGCAGTGAACTGATCTGTGCGTCAAGGTCAGTTCTCTCTGCTGGCCACCAGTGGACTGATATGTCACCACGTCACCAGCACCAGCACCAGCACCTCACGCAAGGTGTGAAGACAACGCTGTTGGAAGCTGAAATGAATTAATGGTTGACATTCGTGGCTTTTTGGTGCAGGTAGGGCCGAATCCAAACGCCATTCATCTAACTACTAAACCCGGTGTCTAGGTGACAAAAGTGACTGGTTCCATGTAGTCCAGTGCGCCCTCTTGACCCGGCTGACCTCAACAGCTTACCAACCACAACGTCCTGCTCGTGGAATATGGGGAGGAGAACAGCAAGAAGTACTGGAGCGTCAGGAACTTCTGGGGAGACAACTGGGGCGAAGAGGGCTTCTTCAGGTATGCTCGGTTGGCTGGAAACACACCCCAAGTTTTTCAAACGGCTGCCAGAAACAATCCGTCTTAGCCCATTATGAATGTCAATGGGACGTTTTGCCTTTGCCGCTCAGCAATATTTTGACAGGAAGGTTATTAAATCTCTTCGTTTCCCTAATTATGTTCCATGATGCAGCTTTCGAAACATTGTACACAGTCTTCCTGAACTAGGCTGTGCCTCTCATTCTATTTTCCCCTTTCTGTGTGTAAATGTCAGGTCATGATGGTGGTGACGACATTTCGCGGTGATCCGCCAACTGCCAGTGCTTTGACTATCCGCCGCTTCCGCAAGATCGATCGCGGCACCGACATGTGTGGTTTCGAGAGCTTGGCCGTTGACATTGACGTTGGCCCCTAGTGAACATGTCAGTAGCACGTACCGCTGCAAGTCATTCAATACTGATGGCATCAGCACATCCTGATCGCGCCAGAGCACGGGGTGACGTTCTAGCCTATATTGATGGCACGATCGACGATTGTCAACTGATTATCAACTCTTGCTCCTTGTTGCCAATGACGTCACAGCAACTGAGTGACGTCATCGGTGTACTAGCGCCGCCGTCGTGGAGCGGAACGCTGAGGGCGCACGTAGTCGTGCCAGGTCGACGACTGTTGCGTGTCTCTCCCTTATTTAGCGTTTGTTCCGATGAAGTCTGCTTGCTAGCGATACTGCAAAATGTTTAACGCTTTTTCCATGTTGGATCGCCTAACATGCATGCCCCACTTCTACGGCCAAAGGTGAGGAGGATTCATGCATTGTATCTAACTATCTGTACATTGTAGTGCACGTGCACTGTCGATCGTGTCAGCCGCCGATGTCAAAGATGTCTGCGGGAAATGTGCTGTGTGGCCGGCAGTTGAGTACAGATCTCGTTAAGGCTGCGTGTGTTGCCTGGGTGAATTTGGCTTGGTGTCCCGTCGGCCAGGCCGTGCCGTGACATGGTGGCAACGGCATCGGGGAAGTGGTTCTGTGTCATGAATGGCGAGCTGTTCAGCCATGCGTCTGCATTGGCCATAGTTCGTGTCGCGTTGGCTGACTTCTCGGTGTACGATGGGTCAATATCACCCGACGGGTTCATTCGTCATTGCCAACGTCTGACGGCACTGGCTGACATACATCTCTACCAAACAGCTCTCCGGATTCATGACGGTGGGGTGCCGTGGACTTGCTTTACAGGTCTTGGAGGACGGTGCCGACCAAACAGACGTGCCCTCCTTACTAAAGGATATGGTCGATGCCAGACGATCGGAGGTGGCAGCTACTCAGCTAAGTACTACTCAGAAAGGCACAATGCCTATTTTGGAGTATTCTTTTCCTATCAAGTGGCTTGTCCATGATGCTTGCTGAGAGCTTTTTGACCAGGCTGACACGTGGAAAGATCTGCACTCCAGTCTACCAAGCTACAATGTATCACCATTTTTTCGTGGGATTGTCGGCTGAAGAAAAGATGCTGCTGTCGCGCAAGGGCGTGGCGTCGTTCGACGCGGCTGTCGGCGAGCAAAAGCGGGAGAGCGCGTCTCCCGCCCGTTGGGAAGTGCGCGACGCTGCTCTCCGCACGTGCACTGGTCGGAGAGTGGAGCAGTGCATGTGGAGGGCAGTGTATGTCCCACGTCACTGCCAGCTTGTCTCGACGCGGCCACGACCTCGCCACACCGAGGGACTGCTGGCGCCTCGAGCGTTTCGGTGTCAGATCGCCTGACCGCGCGGTGGGCGGTGCTGGCCGCGGTTCTGAGCGGTCACCGCAGCAGTCGGCTACCACCTGGCGGAAGCGCCACCAGCCACCGTCTTCGATTCGCTCACCAGATGGCGGTGCGCGCCGTACAGATTTGCCAGGCGGGCGGCGGCGCGCGACATGCATCCTGCATCCTTGCGGCGCCCCGCTTGTCCGGGGTCAGGCTGCACGCGCCAGCCACGAGTGGGCCGAGAGCCTCTGGGGGGGGGGGGGGGACCCCGACCGGGTACCCAGTGCTCAAGCGCGTGTTAAAGCTCGGCGGTTGGCCCCAGGCGCATGCAAGTTTGCCCCACAGTTAACTATTGCTTTTTTATCTCAGAGCCCTGAAATGATCAGTTCCAGTCGAAAGGGCTCTAATCGAAACTATCGAGCCAAACTAAGCATGTCAACATTAGCCGCGTTTCGGGAAGCGATGCGCTTTGGCACACTATCAGCCGAGTCAGCCTTCTTGACAGCCGCGTCTTCAGTGTAGTTGCCCCTAACGTGCAGCTCAAGGCACTGCCCGGTTGATGTCAGCGTCAGGTTATCACTCAAACGCATTGGGTATCAGTTCCCTCAACACAGAGGCTGCATGGGTGAAAGGAGAAACAACTGTAGCCGAGCTCATTGTGGTATATAACCTTTTGTACGATTTAGTTTTCGGATGGGATTTCCTTTCCAATGATGTGTTAATCTGTTCTGTGAACACTTTGGTATAGTCAAAATTGCGGCTCAAAAAGGCTGCATTTGTCCCTTTGCAATCAGCTGTGTATTTGTCGGCCAAGGCTGATCAGCATTGGTCGTGTTAGGGCGCTCGTGGGAAAACGCTCGAGTCACGCTGAAATATGCTTTTAACTGACAACACCGTTCACGTGGACAGAGATCCCAATGTACATTCGCAACCGATCTGGTCGCCGGATCACCATGGGTAAGCGGAGCGTAATTGGCAATGCAGAGTGGATTGACCTTGTCGAGACGCGTCAGCCCGGGCCTGCTGGGGAATCGCCGGTAACGTCACAGCCAAAGTGAACACGATGTCAGTTGTTCAGTGCATTGGCGAGCAGCATTCTTCACATAGATCAGACACTAATAATAACCTTATTCATACGGGAAAAACCAGGAGAATAGATATGTACATGGGCTGATATTTCGGCGGCATGCCTTTATCGAATCAATAGCAAAAGGGAATTCAAAAGAAGTGATTCATCGATGAGTATGCTGGGGTATGGACGCACGGACAGCGTGCCCCTGAAGAGTTTTTAGAGTACATGAACAATCAACATCCAAATCTGGCTTTTACGGTGGAGCATACATGGAACGGAAAGGTGTCCCATGTTTTGATACGCTGGTGATGGTGGAAGGGAAGAACAACCGCGCAATGTTAGAGACGGAACTGTTTATCAAGACCACCAACTTCGATATAATTCTGCACTGCGAATCTGTGCATCCAACTTCTACTAAGCGCAACATAATTCCTAACATATTGCATAGGTCTCTTAACAACTTAACAACTCATCAAGTAGTGAGAAGGAAAGAAAGAGCATGAACAAAATATGGGCCTTACTGTTGGGCAGTGTATACTCCCCGCGACTTTGGGGTAGAATGCCGGAAGAAGTAAAAATGTCTAGAGCGCATGGGGGGATGGGTGGAAGGAGACGGGAAAGCTGCCTGTCGAAAGACGGATTCTTAACGCTATCTTTCATGGATGAGCATTTGCTTTGGAAAATCAAACGCGCTGTTAAAAAATCAAACTGCGCGTACGCATGGCTTGGAAGAGGGGCAGCAAGCTGAAAAGTATCTGGTGAAATCTCCCATCTCAAAGCCTAAGTACCCGGGTAGCAACAGATATAATTTATTCAACTCTGGGTTTCAAGAGGGTTTGCACGCAAAAAAACGTGGTTTACGAAATCAAGCGTAGGCGGTGTGGAAAATATGGGAGGGGCATGGTCTATTTTGGGGAATCCATGCGCCCTACCCGTTTGATATTATAATGAACACCTGCGAGGCGCTAAAAACCAAACAAGAAAAACCCTTTCGGCGACAATTTTTTGACATCACGCACTCAGGCTGCGATTGGGGGAGATAATTTTGTATGAATGCCCATCATATGCCCATGCCCATTATAGAGCGAAATCATCTGCAGAGCACAGGACCACACAGACAGGAAAATACGTGAATCTATTTTTACAGAAAATCGACGATGAAGTCAGTGACTATAGGGCTCATAATGGCCGATTATGCGAACGTGATATGTGCCTTTATGTGTGATGCGTTTAAGCTTAAAATCGTTTACATGTGTAAGTGATGCCTGACGCGTGATGTGCGATGCCTGTTTAATTTAAATCGCTTGCATGTATAAGTGATACGCGATGCGTGATGCCTTTTCTTTAACTCGCTTGCGTGTTTGAATGCAGCGTGATTCGTGATACCTATTTGCTTGAATTCGTTTTCATGTACACGTATGCTCGCGCATTCTAATTCTTAGACAGACACTGTATCGTGGTAATGGCTGGCAATCGCTCTTTGTTTGATCCCCTGAATGTTGGCGTCCTGTAAAAACTGTGGCCTGCTGTTTCAACAAGAAATCTGACAAATCGGGTAGAATCATTGGCAGGCGATTTTGAATTCCCTTCTCGTATTGTTTCTATAAAGGCATGCCGCGGAAACATTGAGCCATGTATATCTCCATTCTCCTGGCTTTCTCTGTGTAATAAGGCTGTTATTACCGCCCTGTCTTTGTCAACACGGTGTCTGCTGACGGCGGCTGGTATGTTGGAAAAACCACTGATGATGTGTTATCGGAGTTTGTGGTTTACTCACCCTTCACCGGCTCTCAGCGAGAGAAATCGGCGACGTTGATCCGTTCATTTCGGGAAGGATTTTCCCGCGGCTATTCAGACATTGGCCAGTACAGCGGTGGCTATATTAGCTTGGAGCTGCGGGAGGGCGCACAGCCTCAATTTATCCGCCCATAGCCAGTCCAAGGCGCCCGTGAGAGCCAACTGAGGTCGCAGCTTGATGATTTACAGGCGTGTGGTGTCTTGGAACAATGGAAATGAGCCGACTGGAACTCTCCCATCATTTTGGTTTCTAAGGGGTCTGAGAGTACCGGATTGGGCAGGACATGAGATTGCTGAATAAGCTTCTCGTTCCGAAGTAGTTTGTCTGCCCGACGGTTGATGAGTTTTTATTTTCTCAACACGGGTGGGAGGCTGCTTCAACACTTGATTGTGAGCACGCGTTCTGGAATTTGCACCTTCCGGAGGAATCGAGTAAGATTTGTGTGTTTTACGTACCGCGAAAGACGTTTCGCCCTCGGCGAATGCCCATGGGCTGCATGCAGTCATCTTACTTCTCGTGCCTAGTCGTGCGAAGCGTCCTTGGGAGCTTGTATGATGTACACGTGCACACAGACATCCTGCTCATGAGCCCGGGGTTTTTGAACAACATTATAAGCTTTTGCACACCGTTTTGGAGAGACTCCGCGGTGCATGGCTCAAACTTGTTCCAGATAAATGTCATCTTTTTCAAACAGCTTTGAAATACCTTGGTCATTAGATCACACTTGATGGGGTCTTTATTGATCTCGATCGTATTCATATAATAGCCGACCTGGAGCTACCTACGTCTGCACATGAAGCTAATA